CAAAAAGAGAACCTCAAAATTGGGCATTGAAAAGATGAAAGAAAAATATTGAGAAGGAATTTGACTGTTGGAACTGGTCATTAGGTGAAATGGGCTTAGATGAATTAATCTGCAGTCATGTTGAAGTGTTCTCAGGACAAAACTATCTCTTAGATCGAAGATGAAGGTGCAGAGGGTGACTCAGTGGATGAGGGTGACTGGTGGTTTTTCGGGGAATACCCATCTCCTACCTCTCCCCTGCACAACCCACAAATCCTCATGTAGTGGAAGTTGGGGAAGAGTGAGGGATTCCAATATAGGAGGTAGGAACACCTGTAACAAGAGCCTGGACTGACTGGATTGAGTGTCTGAGTTGAGGCATTCAGTGAGTGAAGAGTGTGAAATATGCCAGCTACTTCCCTGGCCTCAGACTTCTCATTCTTGAATCTGTTTCTCATGTTCCTCTTGGTTGTTAAATTCTAAGCTTAGCTTTCAGAGAAATACAGTTTTATCCTATTTCATTGGCAGCAAGAAATGGAAATCTGTTTCCTGGTCTGTCAGTGTGGAGGTCATTCTCCTTTTGCTAAATATCAAATTAATGTGATGTGGAATCATAGAATTTATGCAACACCTTGTTTCCTCCAGTCCTTTCTTCCATTAACTTTAACTCTCCTTCACCAGGTTTCCAGGCTGTCAAGGACCCCAGCTCTTCTTGTACGTTGAACAGAACTGTGGGGGAATCTGTGCAGCTGACACTGAACTCCTCACCAGACCCTAATATCCGAGAGATTGAGTGGTCTTGGGAGCCCCCATCTCAGAGAAGGCAGATTCTGGTGTCCTGGAAACTTGATGGCCCTGGTCCTGATTGGTATGACATTAAAGACCTCAAGAACAGATTCAACTTGACGAAGCTGGCTTTCCTGATGATCAAGAACCTCACTGTGGAAATGAGTGGGCTGTACACAGCAGAAGTCAAATTCAAGTCAGGATAATCTCAAGTGGAGGCCTTTCGACTCTGTGTATATGGTAAGATGTGGGTCCTTGTCCAACCCAGCATCCCAACAACCACCTTTCTAAAATTAGTTAATCTAAACTGATTTCCTTTAATGTCATGGAGTTTATCTAAATAAATGTATATAAGTGTGGGCTTTCTTTGATGTTGAAAAAAGGAGAAACTACAGACAATAAAAAGGCACATTTATAGTTATTAACTAAATAAAACTAACCTAACATCCGGTAAATAAGCCCAATATGTTTTTTTTCCATCTCTTTTGATGCACTAAAAATAAAACCTAAGTTTAAAGATACTTTTAGCAAAAGTTAGCTAAAGTTTCTTAAATTGCATAATTAAGAATCCAAGAAAAGGGAGAAGCAAAGCCACCCAAAAGGATAAAAGATTTTTCATTCATATAATGTTATATTAATTATTATGAACAGAAAAATACAAATATTATTTGGTTGTTTCAAAAACTGACGTAAAAATTCTTATTAGAGAAATGTGGGCAAAAAGAGAACCTCAAAATTGGGCATTGAAAAGATGAAAGAAAAATATTGAGAAGGAATTTGACTGTTGGAACTGGTCATTAGGTGAAATGGGCTTAGATGAATTAATCTGCAGTCATGTTGAAGTGTTCTCAGGACAAAACTATCTCTTAGATCGAAGATGAAGGTGCAGAGGGTGACTCAGTGGATGAGGGTGACTGGTGGTTTTTCGGGGAATACCCATCTCCTACCTCTCCCCTGCACAACCCACAAATCCTCATGTAGTGGAAGTTGGGGAAGAGTGAGGGATTCCAATATAGGAGGTAGGAACACCTGTAACAAGAGCCTGGACTGACTGGATTGAGTGTCTGAGTTGAGGCATTCAGTGAGTGAAGAGTGTGAAATATGCCAGCTACTTCCCTGGCCTCAGACTTCTCATTCTTGAATCTGTTTCTCATGTTCCTCTTGGTTGTTAAATTCTAAGCTTAGCTTTCAGAGAAATACAGTTTTATCCTATTTCATTGGCAGCAAGAAATGGAAATCTGTTTCCTGGTCTGTCAGTGTGGAGGTCATTCTCCTTTTGCTAAATATCAAATTAATGTGATGTGGAATCATAGAATTTATGCAACACCTTGTTTCCTCCAGTCCTTTCTTCCATTAACTTTAACTCTCCTTCACCAGGTTTCCAGGCTGTCAAGGACCCCAGCTCTTCTTGTACGTTGAACAGAACTGTGGGGGAATCTGTGCAGCTGACACCGAACTCCTCACCAGACCCTAATATCCGAGAGATTGAGTGGTCTTGGGAGCCCCCATCTCAGAGAAGGCAGATTCTGGTGTCCTGGAAACTTGATGGCCCTGGTCCTGATTGGTATGACATTAAAGACCTCAAGAACAGATTCAACTTGACGAAGCTGGCTTTCCTGATGATCAAGAACCTCACTGTGGAAATGAGTGGGCTGTACACAGCAGAAGTCAAATTCAAGTCAGGACAATCTCAAGTGGAGGCCTTTCGACTCTGTGTATATGGTAAGATGTGGGTCCTTGTCCAACCCAGCATCCCAACAACCACCTTTCTAAAATTAGTTAATCTAAACTGATTTCCTTTAATGTCATGGAGTTTATCTAAATAAATGTATATAAGTGTGGGCTTTCTTTGATGTTGAAAAAAGGAGAAACTACAGACAATAAAAAGGCACATTTATAGTTATTAACTAAATAAAACTAACCTAACATCCGGTAAATAAGCCCAATATGTTTTTTTTCCATCTCTTTTGATGCACTAAAAATAAAACCTAAGTTTAAAGATACTTTTAGCAAAAGTTAGCTAAAGTTTCTTAAATTGCATAATTAAGAATCCAAGAAAAGGGAGAAGCAAAGCCACCCAAAAGGATAAAAGATTTTTCATTCATATAATGTTATATTAATTATTATGAACAGAAAAATACAAATATTATTTGGTTGTTTCAAAAACTGACGTAAAAATTCTTATTAGAGAAATGTGGGCAAAAAGAGAACCTCAAAATTGGGCATTGAAAAGATGAAAGAAAAATATTGAGAAGGAATTTGACTGTTGGAACTGGTCATTAGGTGAAATGGGCTTAGATGAATTAATCTGCAGTCATGTTGAAGTGTTCTCAGGACAAAACTATCTCTTAGATCGAAGATGAAGGTGCAGAGGGTGACTCAGTGGATGAGGGTGACTGGTGGTTTTTCGGGGAATACCCATCTCCTACCTCTCCCCTGCACAACCCACAAATCCTCATGTAGTGGAAGTTGGGGAAGAGTGAGGGATTCCAATATAGGAGGTAGGAACACCTGTAACAAGAGCCTGGACTGACTGGATTGAGTGTCTGAGTTGAGGCATTCAGTGAGTGAAGAGTGTGAAATATGCCAGCTACTTCCCTGGCCTCAGACTTCTCATTCTTGAATCTGTTTCTCATGTTCCTCTTGGTTGTTAAATTCTAAGCTTAGCTTTCAGAGAAATACAGTTTTATCCTATTTCATTGGCAGCAAGAAATGGAAATCTGTTTCCTGGTCTGTCAGTGTGGAGGTCATTCTCCTTTTGCTAAATATCAAATTAATGTGATGTGGAATCATAGAATTTATGCAACACCTTGTTTCCTCCAGTCCTTTCTTCCATTAACTTTAACTCTCCTTCACCAGGTTTCCAGGCTGTCAAGGACCCCAGCTCTTCTTGTACGTTGAACAGAACTGTGGGGGAATCTGTGCAGCTGACACTGAACTCCTCACCAGACCCTAATATCCGAGAGATTGAGTGGTCTTGGGAGCCCCCATCTCAGAGAAGGCAGATTCTGGTGTCCTGGAAACTTGATGGCCCTGGTCCTGATTGGTATGACATTAAAGACCTCAAGAACAGATTCAACTTGACGAAGCTGGCTTTCCTGATGATCAAGAACCTCACTGTGGAAATGAGTGGGCTGTACACAGCAGAAGTCAAATTCAAGTCAGGATAATCTCAAGTGGAGGCCTTTCGACTCTGTGTATATGGTAAGATGTGGGTCCTTGTCCAACCCAGCATCCCAACAACCACCTTTCTAAAATTAGTTAATCTAAACTGATTTCCTTTAATGTCATGGAGTTTATCTAAATAAATGTATATAAGTGTGGGCTTTCTTTGATGTTGAAAAAAGGAGAAACTACAGACAATAAAAAGGCACATTTATAGTTATTAACTAAATAAAACTAACCTAACATCCGGTAAATAAGCCCAATATGTTTTTTTTCCATCTCTTTTGATGCACTAAAAATAAAACCTAAGTTTAAAGATACTTTTAGCAAAAGTTAGCTAAAGTTTCTTAAATTGCATAATTAAGAATCCAAGAAAAGGGAGAAGCAAAGCCACCCAAAAGGATAAAAGATTTTTCATTCATATAATGTTATATTATTAAAAAACAGAAAAAAACCAAATATTATTATTTGGTTACTTCAAAAACTGACATAAGAATTCTTATTACAGAAATGTGGGCAAAAAGAGAACCTCAAAATTGGACATTGAAAAGATAAAGGAAAAACACTGAGGAGTTTGACTGTTGGAACTGGTCATTAGGTGAAATGGGCTTAGATGAATTGATCTGCAGTCCTGTTGGAGAGTTCTTAGGACAAAACTATCTCTTAGATCTAAGTTGTAGGTGCAGAGGGTGACTCAGTGGATGAGGGTGACTGGTGGATTTTCGGGGAATACCCATCTCCTACCTCTCCCCTGCGCAACCCACAAATCCTCATGTAGTGGAAGTTGGGGAAGAGTGAGGGATTCCAATATAGGAGGTAGGAACACCTGTAACAAGAGCCTGGACTGACTGGATTGAGTGTCTGAGTTGAGGCATTCAGTGAGTGAAGAGTGTGAAATATGCCAGCTACTTCCCTGGCCTCAGACTTCTCATTCTTGAATCTGTTTCTCATGTTCCTCTTGGTTGTTAAATTCTAAGCTTAGCTTTCAGAGAAATACAGTTTTATCCTATTTCATTGGCAGCAAGAAATGGAAATCTGTTTCCTGGTCTGTCAGTGTGGAGGTCATTCTCCTTTTGCTAAATATCAAATTAATGTGATGTGGAATCATAGAATTTATGCAACACCTTGTTTCCTCCAGTCCTTTCTTCCATTAACTTTAACTCTCCTTCACCAGGTTTCCAGGCTGTCAAGGACCCCAGCTCTTCTTGTACGTTGAACAGAACTGTGGGGGAATCTGTGCAGCTGACACTGAACTCCTCACCAGACCCTAATATCCGAGAGATTGAGTGGTCTTGGGAGCCCCCATCTCAGAGAAGGCAGATTCTGGTGTCCTGGAAACTTGATGGCCCTGGTCCTGATTGGTATGACATTAAAGACCTCAAGAACAGATTCAACTTGACGAAGCTGGCTTTCCTGATGATCAAGAACCTCACTGTGGAAATGAGTGGGCTGTACACAGCAGAAGTCAAATTCAAGTCAGGACAATCTCAAGTGGAGGCCTTTCGACTCTGTGTATATGGTAAGATGTGGGTCCTTGTCCAACCCAGCATCCCAACAACCACCTTTCTAAAATTAGTTAATCTAAACTGATTTCCTTTAATGTCATGGAGTTTATCTAAATAAATGTATATAAGTGTGGGCTTTCTTTGATGTTGAAAAAAGGAGAAACTACAGACAATAAAAAGGCACATTTATAGTTATTAACTAAATAAAACTAACCTAACATCCGGTAAATAAGCCCAATATGTTTTTTTTCCATCTCTTTTGATGCACTAAAAATAAAACCTAAGTTTAAAGATACTTTTAGCAAAAGTTAGCTAAAGTTTCTTAAATTGCATAATTAAGAATCCAAGAAAAGGGAGAAGCAAAGCCACCCAAAAGGATAAAAGATTTTTCATTCATATAATGTTATATTAATTATTATGAACAGAAAAATACAAATATTATTTGGTTGTTTCAAAAACTGACGTAAAAATTCTTATTAGAGAAATGTGGGCAAAAAGAGAACCTCAAAATTGGGCATTGAAAAGATGAAAGAAAAATATTGAGAAGGAATTTGACTGTTGGAACTGGTCATTAGGTGAAATGGGCTTAGATGAATTAATCTGCAGTCATGTTGAAGTGTTCTCAGGACAAAACTATCTCTTAGATCGAAGATGAAGGTGCAGAGGGTGACTCAGTGGATGAGGGTGACTGGTGGTTTTTCGGGGAATACCCATCTCCTACCTCTCCCCTGCACAACCCACAAATCCTCATGTAGTGGAAGTTGGGGAAGAGTGAGGGATTCCAATATAGGAGGTAGGAACACCTGTAACAAGAGCCTGGACTGACTGGATTGAGTGTCTGAGTTGAGCTACTCAGTGAGTGAGGAGTGTTAAATATGCCAGCTGGCTTCCTGGCCTCCAACTTTTCATTCTTGAATCTGTTTCTCTTGTTCCTCTTGGTTGTTAAGTTCTAAGCTTAGCTTTCAGAGGAATATAGTTTTATCCTGTTTCATTGGCAGCAAGAAATGGAAATCTGCTCAAATGAAATAACAGAGACAGTTTATATCATCAAGATAACACAGAGCTCATAGGCACTATGATCAGCAAGCATCTCCTCTGACTCTAGCTTGTGGGGTGAGGAAGGTAATGAGTATTCTCTCCTCTCTGGTGGGACCAGATGGTCTCTAATTCTGTTTCCTTTTCCCTCTTTCATCAGCTTTGCTCTCCTGGGCTTCTCCATGCAGTCCACTGGCAGCTATGCATCCCACCCAAGCAGAGGACAAAGGGGCTTTCTTGGCCCTCTTCACACAGGGGCAATTCTAGTACTCTTAGGCTGAGGCCCATGCTGATTTGTATTGGTCATTGGTCAGGGAAAAGCCAGTTATCACAGGCAAGACACAGGCTTTTTACTCTCTGCTGTAAGCAAAGCCAGAGTGCTGTGATTAATAATCATATATAAAAAAGATCAGGTTGTAGCAGAAGAGAAATTCCCAGGACAAAAACCAGAAGTGCTACTAGCTGTATTCCCTTCATTACCATTTTTCCCTGATAAAGCACCAATATCCAAATGGAATCTTCCAACCACACTTGCTTTCTCCTTGTTGCTGAGCTTTGCTTCATTAATGTGGTATATTATGCTTACAGATTGTGTATGTTAAATTAGGTTTATATTTATTAATATATACCAGTTGATTATGGATTATGACCTTTTCAATGTGCTGTTGAATTCAGTGTGCTGGTGCTTTGTTGAGGAGATTTCTACTTATCTTTTCTGGTATTAGTGGCCTGTTGTTTTATTTTCTTGAAAAATGAACCTTCTAAAAGGAATGTGTAGAAGTTCTGCCTCTTAAATTTTTTGGAACAATTTTTGCAGGATTATTTGATTGAATTCAGTAGTGAAGCCACTTGGCCGTAAGTTTTTCTTTAACAGGGTTTTCTTGATTGATCACTCAATCTGTTACTCATTGTTGATTTGTCCTGATTCTCTGATTATTCATAATTCAACCCTGATAGTACATTCCTAGAAATTTGTTTCTTCTTACCAATTTGTTGGAATATAAATAACTATTTGTGATAGCCTTTTATGCCCTTTCACATTTCTGTGATATCAACTATGTCTTCACTCTAACTTCTGATCTGTTCTGAGTCTCTCATAACCCCACCCCCTTTTTATGGGGTTACTCTGCAAAAGATTGCAAATGTTATCTTAAAAAAAAAACCTCACAAAATTCTTAGCTTCCTAAATGTTTCTGCTATTCTTTAATTTCCTTTATTTTATTCTGATCTTTATTTTTTTCCCCATTGGCTTTTGGTTCAGTTTGTTCTTTTGATTCTTTTGATGTATAAAATTAAATTTATTCAATTTAGACTATTAAAATATATAACGAAGGCTCTAGTTATTTTCAAATTCACTTTAGGAACCTCTTTTACTACGTCTCACAGAAAGAGAGAGTTTTCATTTGCTGGTTACCTGCCAAGGCTAGGCATGGTCTAAATTTGGAGTCTGGAGCTAAGTGTGAGTCTCACACGTGGGTGCTAGGCCCCAGTGACTTTCTCCATTCTCCACTGCTTTCCAGGACATTAGCAGCTAGCTGGATCAGAGCTGGAACACCTGAGACATGAACTGGTACCCAGGTGGGATGCTGACATTGCAGGTGATAGCTTAACCTGTTATGCCATATTGGGCCCTGTCCTCATTTATATAATGAGTTTTATATTTTCAAATGTTTTCATGTCATCAGTTATTTCTCTTTCATTTCTACTGGTAAAATTCTCTTTAGCATTTCCTGTAATGAAGGTCTAATGGTGCTGAAATTCACATCTTTTGTTTGGGAAAATTCCTTATTATGTTTTATTTCTGAAGCACAGGCTTTTGGGTATGATATTCTTGCTGGGCAGTTTTGTTTATTTTCAGAATTTTGAATATATAATTCCATTTTCTCTTGATTTCTGCTGGGGAATATGACAGTAGCTTTATGGAGATCATATTTATGCAACAAGATGCTTTTCTTTTGCTGCTTCCAAAATTCTATTCTTTTTGCTTCTTTTTTTTCTTTATTTTTGACTATCTTTGCATAGTTGATTAGGGCACCAAGTGTCAAGTGCTACAGGAAAGTGTGCAAGGCTATTGCTTCCACATTATTTCTTTTTTTTTTCTGTATATGGGGTAAAAAGAGAGATAAAGCGAGAAGCCCCTCCCAGTTTGCCACTCATCGCGGGTCCCCAATGTGGGGCATGCTTCGAAGGTTCTGCTCAAGTGGTTTTGATAATTCAACAGTTACTAATTACTGCTAATCTCACCATTCCAAGTACAATGAAATTTTTTTACTCCTGAGAATTTCATTATAATATGCTCAGAGAAGATCTTTATTTAATCTATTTGGGGTTCTTTGATGTTTATAGAAGCTGTATATTCATTTTCCTCTTCATATTTGGGAAATTTTCTGTCATTGTATCTTTCAATAAACTCTTTCTTATTAATTTATTTGAAAGAATAAAAGAGAGATGTGGAAAAGTAAGAAAAGGAAATAAAGAAAGAGCATGAACAATCTTCTGTCCTATGGGTCTTTCCTCTAAAGGCTCCAGTGATTGGGCAGGACTGGAGCATGATTCCTGGTACAGACACCGCTACTTACATCCCAACACCAGTAACTTCGGATGCTTGTCCTGTCTCAGTACTGTCTGGATATGACTATTGCCATGATATTACTGTCACTGGCCTAGAACTTGAAGTCTTTCTTTTCATGTAACTGGTTTGAATTTGAAAGTGCAGGGTAGGTACATCTGGTTGGAGGGATCTATGTCATGTATTACCCCAGGTATAAAGAAAGCTGGCGAACTGTCTATCTGGAGTTTTTAGTTTTTGAGTTACAAGGTAGGGAATTCTGTTAATAAGGTAGAAGAGTCTCCTCTTTGAGGAAAGGAAACCCTAGGGCCAGGGGACAGATATGCAGTCTGTGCCTCTTTCTTGTTTTATGGCATGCACTTCTAATTCACCTTGTCCTGTTTATTCATTTTTTTCAGCATTCTTCCTGAGGAGGAAACTCCAGGAGAGCAGAAACCTTGTTTGTTTGGTACATTATGGCACAGCACCTTCAGGAGTACCTTCTCTTTAAATATTGCTTTAATTAAATTAGGCTGAGAGGGCTGGTATTGTGGCATAGCAAGTAAAGCTGCCATTTACAATATGGTATCCCATATGGGTGCCAGTTTGAATCCTGATTGCTTCACTTCAGAACCAGTTCCTTGTAACGCACCTGGGAAGGCAGTGGAAGATGGCTCAGGTGCTTGGACTCCTGCACTCACATGGAATCTGGAAGAAGTTCTTAGCTTCTGATTTCAGAACTGACCTGGCTCTGGCCGTTTTGATCATTTGCAGGGTGAGCCACTGGATGAAATTAAATAAATTAATCTTCAAAAAATTAGATTGTACAAAAGAAGAATTTTCAAGTATCACGTGGCTGATTTGACAATTGGAAGATTATTAATAATAAAATTAAGAGCAATTTCAGAGTCACAATGGACCAGAAGTCACACCATAGTGAAGTGAGGAAAATTGGTGGCAGTGGGGTGGACAGAAATTACTGCCTTCAGTGTATTCAAACAGATGGAAGATTTGAATCACTATCATCTTTTTTGAAAAATTAAGTATTCTTGGTTATTTCTCTAAGTGGCTATAACAGCTGTGGCTGGCCTAGGCTGAAGTCAAAGAGCCAAGAGCTTCACCTGGTTTATCAGGCACAAGCACTTGGGCCATCATCCAATGCTTTCCCAGGTGTATTACTAAGGACCTGAGGACCTGATCAGAAGCAGAGCAGCTGGGACTTGAACCAGTGCCCATATGGGTGCTGGGATTGCGGGTGGCTCCTTTATTGGCTATACCACAATGGTGGCTCCTATTTATCACCTTTAACAATTTCAGTTTTTCTGGCTGGAATTAAACAAGGATTGTGTTGGACACAAGCACCAAAAGAAAGAAAGCAGAAGACAAAGAGGGTGACAGACATAAACTTTAATCAAAGCTGTTGAGTCTGGGCCAGAACAATGCTTACTAAGTTACCTGTGCAGCTTGTTTCCTGGTCTGTCAATGTGGAGGTCATTCTCCTTTTGCTAAATATTGAATCAATGTGGTGTGGAAGCATAGAAGAGATGCAACACCTTGTTTCCTTTACCACTCTTCCTTCTCTAACTTTAGTTCTTCCTTCACCAGGTTTCCAGGCTGTCAAAGACCCCAGCTCTTCTTGTACATTGAACAGAACTGTGGGGGGATCTGTGCAGCTGACACTGAACTCCTCACCAGACCCTAATATCCGAGAGATTGAGTGGTTTTGGGATCGCCCATCTCAGGGAAGGCAGGTTCTTGTGTCCTGGAGTCCTGATGCCCCTGATGGTGATTGGTATGACATTAAAGACCTCAAGAAGAGATTCAACCTGACAAAGCTGGCTTTCCTGATGATCATGAATCTCACCATGGAAATGAGTGGGTTGTACACAGCAGAAGTCAAATTCAAGTCAGGACGATCTCAAGTGGAGGCCTTTCAACTCTGTGTATATGGTAAGATGTGGGTGCTTGCCCAATCCAGCATCCCAACAACCTCCTTTCTAAAACAAGTTAGCCCAACTTGATTTCCTTTAGTGACATGAAACTTGCCTAAATAAATGTATGTATGCGTGGGCTTTTTGTGATGTTGAAAAAGGAGAAAACTACAGACAATAAAAAGGCACATTTATAGTTATTAACTAAATAAAATTAGCCTGACATTAGGTAATAAACTCAGTGTGGGTTTTTTATTTGTATCTTTTGTGATGCTTTAAAAATAAAATCTAATTTTAAAAATAGATTTATTTATTTTTATTGGAAAGTCAGATATACAGAGAGACAGGAGGAGAGACAGAGGAGATTTTCCATCTGATGATTCATTCCCTAAATGGCTGAGTCAATCAGAAGCCAGGAGCCTTTTCTGGTTCTCTCATGCAGATGCAGGGTCCCAAGGTTTTGGGCAGTTCTTGACTGCTTTCCCAGGTCATAAGTAGGGAGCTTCATGGTAAGCTGGGTAGCTGGGATTAGAACCTACGCCCATATGGGATCTCAGTGTGTGCAATGTGAGGACTTCAGCCACTAGGCTACTGAACCCAGACCCTAAGAACTAAAATTTAAAGACACTTTTAGCAAAAGTTAGCTAAAGTTTCTTAAATTATATAAGTAAAAATCCAAGAAAATGGAAATTCAGAGCTACCCAAAAGGATAATTATTCAATCATAAAATGTTACATTAATTATTAGAAACACAAATATATAAATATTATTTGGTTGTCTCAAAAACTGACATAAAGAATTCTTATTAAAGAAAAGTGGGCAAAAAGAGAATGACAAAATTGAACATTGAAAAAGATGAAAGAAAAACACAAAACAGGAGTTTACCGTTGGAACTGGTCCTTAGGTGAAATGGATTTAAACAAATTGACCTGCAGTCCAGTTGGAGTGTTCTCAGGACAAAACTCTGTTTTAGATCCAAGTTGAAGATGCAGAGGGTGATCCAGGCTGTGTCCTGGCTCTCCCAGGCCAATGAGCCAACTGCTTTATCCTGCAGGAAGCAGGGAGCCTGGGTAGACCTAGAGGTGGAGGAAATGGGAGAGGAGTTGGAAGATACCCAGCTTCCCAGAGCATTCTTCGTCTGGCTCTACCTACCCTCAGTCACCTTGCAGGAATGTTTTAGTGGCTTTCTAATGGACTCTACTCTTTCTCTTTTCAAATCATTCTTCCTACTCATACCATTTGATTCCTGGGTGTTTTCTACATGTGCCATTCTCTAAATTTGTGATCCTTGCTCTTATGTACCTGCTCCTGCCTGTCCTTTCTCCTCTTTGATGTGTGCTGGTGGATTTTCAAGGAATACACATCTACCATATCTCCCCTGCACAACCCACAATTCCTCCTGTGGTGAAAGTGGGAGGGATGAGGAGATCCAACATGGGTGGTGGGAAAACCTGTAACAAAAGGCTAGACTGACTGGATTCATTTAAGACGTCAGTCAATGAAAGGTGTGAAATATGCCAGCTAATTTCCTGGGCTCCAACTTTTCATTCTTTGCCCTCTTTCTCTTATTCTTCTTGGTTGTTAAATTCTAAGTGTAGCTTTCAGAGTAATACAGTTTTATCCCATTTCATTGGCAGCATCAGCTCAAATGACTAAGAGAGACAGTTTATATCATCAGGATAACACAGAGCTCAGAGGCACTAAGATCAGCAAGTATCTCTGGCCCTCTGGCTTGTGGGGATGAGGGAGACAATGAGTATTCTTTCCTCTCCCTGGTGGGACTAGATGGTCTCTAATTTTGTCTCTCTCCCGTCCTTTCATCAGCTTTGCTTCCCTGGGCTTCTCCATGCAGCTATGCATCCCACCCAAGCAGAGAGCAATGAGGCTTTCTTGATCCTCTCCATACAGGACCAATTCTAATACTCTTAGGCCATGATGACTTGTATTGATTAGTCATCAAGGGAGTAACTAGTTCTCACTGGCAAGACCCAAGCTTTCTACTCTCCTGTAACCAGGACTAGAGTGCTGTGATTGACAATCATACATAAAAAACACAAGGTTGGAGCAGAAAAGAAATTGCCAGAAAAAAAAAAAAAACAGAAGTGCTACTAACTGGCTTCCCTACATTCTCTTTTGTTCTCTGATAATGCAGCAGTACCCCTATGAGATCTTCCAACTGCACTTGCTTACTCCACATTGCACAGAGAATTAATGGCTGCACTTGGCCCTGGAGGCCCTCTGCCACTTGCTGCCAACTTCCTCCTCATTTCCACAGATCTGAACCTCATGGTGTCACTCCCTTGCCTCTTCGCTTTCAGAACGGAATGTTCTAAATAACGCCTGAGCTTTCTGCCCTTAGAATGAACCTTTGTGCTTTGAAATGTCAAGGTTCTTTTAACATGTTCTTTTCTGGATCTTAATGTTGTCTGCCTTACACTGGAGCCAGACATGTGGGATGCTCTTCTCTTGAGAACAAAATCTGCCCTCTTCTTTCCTTGGCATCCACAAAGCCTCTTAAACTGCTCCAGTGGGTATTCAGAAAATACTTCTCTGGCCTAACACTGTTAAGCAATATTTAAGGGAGTCCTATAAAAGTATACTGGATCTTTCTAGGCTTTTTTTTTATTACTAAAACCTGATTGATATTCTTTGACTCACTGAGAAGAATATCTAACAAAAATTCATCTGAACTAGTTGCTGAATGAAAGCTTTAATGCATGATCTGTCAAAACACACTTCCATGATTCATAGCACTTTGTACTTAGATTTGTATTTAAATTATTACAGTTTTTTAAAGTGAATCCTCTAAAGAAGCTACTGAAAAATATCATTTTCTTCAGTGAGCCTTGTAAAGGTTCCAAGAATTATTTTTAATAATTGTCTTATATTGATGATTAGCAAATTATGGCTACAGCCCAACATCTGTTTTTTAAATAAGGTTTCACTGGAATACAGCCACATCCATTCACTTCCATATTGCATTTGGTAGCTGTGTACTACAGGGACAAAGTTGTGTCATTGTGACATTATGGCCTCTACAACCTAAAATATTTACCCCATTGCCATTTATGAAGAAGTTGGCCTATCCCTGCCCTGAGGATCCTGTTGACATAGCTGCCCCCTTGCAACCTCTTGGAGTTGTGATGAAAATTAAAGAAGTTAATAGGAAGATCTTGGAGCTGTGCAAAAGCTGTGCTTTTCATTTCTTAATGGAGTAAAGGACATTGACAGATTTCCTAAGTATAACATCTTCAGGTCTCCATAATAAACCTAGCTTGATTGTGATGTATTCAGAGATTATATTGGTTGACAGTTAGTTTAGGGATTTAAAGTTCTCTATTTATCACTGAAATTAGTCCATGCGTTTGCAATTGTGTTTGACTTGTTCTGTTTTTTTTTTTTTTTTGGCATCCTCTTTATCTGATACAAGTATTCAATTTAAATTATACCTTAAGATTGACCTGAGGAGTAATTTACTTTTTTTTTTCTAAACTCTGTAGCAGTGTATGAAACACAAACTTTATAGCCCTTGGCCCTTTGGTGGCACTCAGTCTTCACTTGATCTTAGCCAAAAGGCTAAGATGCAATGCACTCAGTCTTAAAACTTTCTAATTTCTTCCAGGTTTATAGATTTGTTCATGTTGCTGCCTTAACTAAATTTATACTGTTTCATTTACATTTTCAAATGTGTCATATGCATTTCGATAAGGTATTTATGGTGTTTTCTTAACTTCTTTTAATAATGTCTTTTCTAGATTTTAGCTATACCTCACTTCTCATTCCTAATGTCATTTACTGATGACTTTAATATTCCAGTTGTATCTAGCAGTATTTTTACTTGTAATTAGTGCTTTAAAAAGATCAACTTTTGATTTTGTTGATTGAATAGTTACTCTTTTGTTGTTCTCCATGTGTCTGAATAAGGAAAATGCCTGACTATATGAACATAAAACTTGATTTTCAAAGGTTTACATAAAGAGGGGTTTGCTTTACTCGTGTATAAAAAGTCAGGGGAGAGCAATGGCCCAGCTGCTCAGCTTCATCACTGACTCACTCTTTCTGATCTGGCATCCTTGAAAAGGTTATGGTCATGCTTGTTTCCCCACAGCTACAAAATGGCTACTTCTCCAGACGGCATCCACCACCAACATAGCCAAACAGGAGGGCAAGAGGACAAGCCTGTCTTGTATTGTGTTGTATTGAGGTTTTTTCTTTCCACCACTGAACACCTTTCATCCCACCTCACTGTTTCTCTCTTGCTTTGTTGGTCAGAACTGCAACCAAAACAAACACCAGGGACAGAACCAGCTTACCGATGCCATGATAGATGAAGGCAATAGCAGAGCGGGCAGTGGGAGTGAGTGTGCAGTGAGCTCCCTTGTGGGTTGTCCTCCTGGCCATTCTGGTCTGCTTCCAGCTGTTGTAAATCCTTCACTCTGATCTGTGTAGATCTGCCCTCCTGTTTAACAGTGGATTTGGTAACTTATCCTTGTACTTTCAGCATTTTTTGTGCGTTTTTATGTTGTTTTACTTTATTTTGTATAATTTACACATTTCTAAATTGTGTTAATGGTACATGTTGTTAGGTTTGTAGAAATCTCTTTTTATCTTACTTAATCTTTTTAATCTTAATTTTTTGTTCTGGAATAACTATTTCTACACTTGTAATAATTTTCTTGACTCTTTCTAGACATTTTTTTGTATCTTTCCTGTAACTTCAATGCGTATTACTAGGTAGTATGAGTAGCATTGGATTAATTTAAGCTGAGTCTTGGTCTTTAATAGAGGCCTGTGATGCATTCAAATGTCTTTCAATTCTGTTTTACGTACATGAATCCACTACCAACATCTTATTTAACTTTCCCGCATCTAATATTCTCCTTTTCATTGCTTCAAACTTCTCTAGGGTCTTGAAAGTTACACAATTCTTTACTTTCATCCTCTTAATTACTAAACAAATTTTTACTGCAACATTTCAAGCAACTAATTTCTTCTTCTGGGTTTAACAAGAAGTTTAATACATATTTTCCAGTATAATCTCATTCTATCTCATGTTATAATCATTATATATATGTATGTACAGTTTTATAAATATGTATACATAGACATTCATATGCAAAGATGCTTATAAATGTGTGGAAATGGAAACAAAGAACAAATTTGTTTCAGTAAAAAGCACTTGGAAGTTATGCATAAGTTTCATTATATTTATCATGTAATGATTAATACTATATACTTGAATGCAAGTTTAATTGATTTCTCTGATTAGTGCTATACTTTATTTCCTTATTTTTACCTATTTTTTTAATTCAATCTTTACTCCAGTCTTAAAGCTTAGTTTTTCTTTCATCCTTTCTTACCCTAGAGCCTGTTCCACACCCCCAGATTCAGACTCATTTTTCATCCAGCACATCAGACTGGTGCAATATTACTTTCGAGTGTGACACCGGGGGGTACACTGAAGACCTCACTGTGTCTTGGATGAGCAATGATCTGGGGCAGAATGGGACACTGGAGCAAACCTCTCACTCCAAGAATCTGAGCCTGAGCCTGCCCATAGACCGGTGGAATGGCTATCTCACCTGTGTGGTCAGCAATCCTGTAGAACAGAAGAATGCCACCTTAGACCTGAGGGGCATCTGTCCACAGAAGGGTGAGTGTGAAGTACAAGCAAGGGTGAAGAAAATGCTTGGCAGAAAATGCAATGTTGTGGGGAGCGGGGCACAGGGGCAAGGCTGGGAGGACTCAAGAAAGTAATGGGATGTGCATTATAAGGCTGTACACATGGTGTGTCTAAGGGGTTCTGTTCCAGCCTTGTTATAGTCCACAAATATACTTGCATGAAGCTGTGCCTGTGTTTGGAATCTCTGTCATCAAGCAGACATATAAAGCACTTGGGAAGCCCTACCCTTGAGCATCAAAGAGAAATGGAGGCTGGATGAGTCATTAGAACCCAAGCCGAGGAAGGGAAGGCCTGGAAGAGCAAGGATGGACCCCCTCACCCTGATCTTAGGGTGCTCACTGCCCAGTTCAGGTTCTCCCACCCCTGTGCATGGCTTGGCCCATGCATGCCTGGCCCATGTATGCCCATGCAGGTGGATAGGTGCCTGCTGCTTCTACTGCAGGTCTGGCCTGGCCTTTCTCAGGATGATCATCTCCCTTGATAGTGTTCAAACCACACTCGGCTTCCTCTGGTCAGTGTGAGCTATAGTGGCCCTCTGCTAACCACAGTCACCTACTCATGATCACATTTCCCCCAGTCAGTCTAATGTTACCTTGGCCCCCTGGAGGGACTCTCCATGGTGGGTTGGGGGTGTGCTCACTTACAAAGACACTGAGCTCTCAGCCCCTTGTTGTAGCAGTACTTTCCTAGCAAGAAGTGAAGCAAAAAAGGTCTACCAGTCCAGCTTCTTTGTCCTGCTAGTGTCTGGCTGAGCTCTGGTTGCTCTTGTGGGACTCTTGTCTGAGAAGTCTGTTCCTGGTCATGTCCTTACTGAATCCTCCCCCGCCCTCCCCCGCTCCAGGAGTGCTCTGTCTACAAACTTTCCTGAGTGCCTGTTAATGTACTCCGCGGGGAGCACAGTGAAAAGGAAGACAAGTCCCTGTCCTCGAGGAACTTAGAGAACAGGGGCCATTTCACTGGGTGGCCTTCAACAGACTAGTTAAGTGTGTGAACTTTCTATTTAAAAGATAGTTCTATGTTTCAGAACTGAAATCTCATGGACAGAACCATTTAATCCTTTGGCAAGTAATTCGGGGTGCTCTTCTGGTTGCACTGCTGATCCTGTTTGCTGGACTGTATTTTTGGAAGACTCGGTGGGGGAAGAAGAAGGAAACAGGAACAGGTAGGTTGCCCTTACCCTTTCCTGGCCAGTTAGTTACCTTCCTCCTTCCCTCCAGTTTCCTGCACCCGTCTTAGCTGCCAGGTAGTGTCCCCTGTGGAGGAGATGGTGGTTGTGACCATGAACTTGGGGTCCATGACATGGGAAGGATTAGTGTTCTCAGGCTTAGGAGCAACCTTCAGTCTGTGTATGACAGGTGCTGGCTTGCAGGTGGGCCACAGGGTTAATGATGGTGGCATTGACTACGTACAGCCAATGAAGGATGAGATTCAGGAAGACAAAGGCTATGTGAGAGTCGGAAGTGATGGCTAGCTGGGCCTAGGCACAAGCATGTCTTTGTAATATGCATGTGTTGTGCTTCTCAAATCCTGGTCATGCTATTTGTCTCAACTGTTCGTTCTTTCTTTCTTTCTTTCTTTCTTTCTTTCTTTCTTTCTTTCTTTCTTTTTTTTACAATTTCAGTAATATTTTAAAATAAGAAATCTAAAATTGTTCAGTTATGTACCAGATTATTGGGGGGGATTCACCAATGTTGCTGCTCAGTGGATACTGTCTGTGTGCAGGTCCCTCTGGGCCTGTTTTTATCTCAACATCTCTGCTTACTCTTGGTCTTGTGTCCCCAGGGTGGAGGTGAAAAACATCTGGGGTAAAAGAAATTTACCATTACCATCTATAGTTGGATTTCTAACCTAGTTAAGGCTGAAGATCATGTGAATGAAGGAAGCAGAACTGAACTTCTGGGGCACCTGCACTCCAAGCCTGATGCCTGCAGATCCTTCATTTCTGGCTGTTGTCCAGCTTCAGCTGTGCTGTTCTGACTAACCCTGACCTAGTGGCTATAACTCCCCGGGCACATGTGGCCTGTCAAGTCCTCTGTTTACATTCTCAACTGCCTTCAAAAAGAGTCAATCAAGAGACTATTAGAACTCCGAAGAGAGTTTGGCAGGGTATTAGGGTACCTGTTTCAAAAGGAGAAATAAGCCAGTCTCATAAGTCAGTTTCAAAAAGACTGATGCCACATATTCTCTTTGATTTAAGGTAACCTTCATGCAGAGCACAAAACAAATAGCTGTGGAGTTTACAAATATATACATACATTCTCATAGATGAACTCAATAATGGAGACTGAAGAACCAGGATATGAAGAAGTGCTGCAATATACATCTCTACTCCCAAATAAAAGAAGAACTCACAATGCAATTGTTAAATATACCTTGACAATTTGATCTATATTTTCTTCCATTGCCTCTACCTACAATACCATGATGTACTTCAACAGCAGAATGCCGGTATTGTGTCAGTAGCTGAAGGACTATATGATTGTAATAATATGGGGAGAAGTGGTGGGGGAAGAGAATGAGGAGGGAGAAAAGGAAGGTAAAAGGAGGGAGTCCCTATATCTACAAAAACTGTATCATAGAAAACAATAATAAAACCTAAATAATAAGACTCTCCTGTTAATATATGAGAAACATATAGATAAAGAAAAAAGGATTGGCTGCAGGCAGCTTCCTGTGACCAAGACCAATGGACCTTTGCTATTCCAAGGCTGTCACCTTGTGAGGATCCAACCCCTTGATTTGTCCAAGTTCATTGCTTACTCAGTATGTCATGGTTGCAAAGTGCTCACTGATCCAGTATTCCACCTAACGTCTCTACAAGCTCAACTACTGGTTGGAGCTTGAAGAAGAAATGACAGTGATGGCAGTATTTACCAGGTCTCAGTAGGGTTTACAGTTTCTTCTTAGAGTAGAGCTTACAGGTGTTACTTTGTTTTGTCATACTCAGAAGGATAGAATCTTAAATTTGCCCGTGATTTGTTATATACACTAGCTGGGATAGATCATCTCTCAGTTCCTGATTTTGGTTTTCGTTTTATTTTGACTCCCCCTCCAATCTGCTTCCTTTGCCTGCATTTGATTGCCCCTGTTTCCCAAGGTCCTGTGGTCCATGTTTGTAAGCTCCTGCTTTCCACACATTTTTCAACATGGCATGCAAAGTCCAGACTTTGGGGAGGTTGCTTCTCCTTTATAAAGTAATGATATATGGCGTGCAGGTTCCAGAACGTCATCACTGAAAACCATCTAGAAGCCTTACTTCAAGGAAATGAGAACCTTTCTCATGACAAATGGCACATGTGGTTTTGTTTTTGTGGTTAATGCTCTGTCAATCATCACACCTCTATGAAAAATTGATAGCAAAATGGGAGGTCATATGTATAGAATTTTTAGAATTAGACCTCTTTGCATCATCTCAGTAGAGCCAGTCAAATTACTTGAGTTAATACCTCCTGGGAATAAAAGCGCCAGGAAGCTCTACAGCTCACTACAGCTGTTCACCTTAAAAGGGACAGCTTTAAGTGAGAGTGCCTTTCGCTGTGGGCTGGGCCAGCACCCCAAAACACACACAATGATAGCCTGGCTCCCCACCGGAGTCAACATTCATTAGCTTGGACACTTCACATTCAGAAAACAAGATTGTGGGCCTTGAACTACCCAATTCACTCGATTTTCTTTTTAATTCATGTGTTTATACAAAGTGAGCAATGTCCACATATATGTTAATACAGATTTAGGGTCTTACTGATACTTCCCATCCCAACCTCCCTCCTGCCCACATTCCTCCTCTTGCTCACATTCTCACTTCCTTATCTCTTATTCTTTTCTAATTTTTACCAAGCATGGTTTCATTTCATTTCACAGCCCTATGTTTAATGCCACATTAGGTAAAGATAATAAAGGTAGCAGCACTTTAGCCATTTCTTGTTATGTTTGCTCTTTTGCTTCTCATGTTGTAAACCTGAAAAAAAAAAGGAATAGGTGTGTACCCCAAACCTAATGCCACTGACTTGCTCTGGCATTTTTATGCCCAGAGGTCAAATAGTTTGTTTATTACCTCCAGCTCCTGTATCCATGGTTTGTTTATTACCTCCAGACCCTCTGGAGTATGTTAAGACAACCTGTGTTTTAGGGACCCTCATATCCCTAGGACAGGACACCTGAACCAGTCTGCTTTGATCTGAAGACCCCAATGGGCTGGAGCTGCATTTCAAGGTATGGTGAGAGCCAGTGCCTAGTGAAAATAAAGGGCACCCTGTGCCTTATACATTTTATACAAATAGAAAAATTTTTGGCATTTCCAAGTTTTTCCCTGAATCCAAATCCTCCCCTTGTCCAGCATAGACATGTCCCACATGCTGCCACATGATAGGCATGTGATAATCATGTTATATAACAAAACTTTTCACAATATCTTAGTAGTCTGTTCAAAGAACTCCTGTAGAAGCCTAGCATGTGTCACATCCCCTGCCTCATTCACCTCATTTCATGTCATCAAGTATTGCATCATTTCACTGTCTCACACGAAGACATAGTAAGATATCATATTTGGAGAAAGACATGACAATATATATATTTTTTAAAGATTTATTTTATTTCTATTGGAAAGGCGGATATACAGAAAGGAGAGACAGAGAGGAAGATCTTCCGTCCGATGATTCACTCCCCAAGTGAGCTCAACGGCCGATGCTATGCCAATCCGAAGCCAGGAGCCTCTTCCTGGTCTCCTGCGTGGGTGCAGGGTCCCAAAGGTTTGGGCCATCCTCGACTGCCTTCCCGGACCACAGGCAGGGAGCTGGATGGGAAGAGGGGCTGCCGGGATTAGAACCGGTGCCCATATGGGATCCTGGGTGTGCAAGGCGAGGACCTTAACCACTGCGCCACCACGCCGGGCCCAA